TTGGTCTGTCTGTAGTCAACCGCACAACTGGCCATCTTATCTGTCAAGTGTACACACAGTCTTCCCATAACACCAGCTGCCTCACATCCATTCGGATGTGGAACAAAGGCGAGAGAGAGAGTGAGAGAGAGGTGTACTCGTCCCAAAATTGTCCATTTTGCACGCTTTCCACAGTCTGAAGACCTTATCCGGCATCAATTTCCGCGCAGTTCTGTCAAGCTGAGGCGCCAGTTGCTACGCAAACAACAACGTCCGATTCTCTCGTAGACGAAGGTGAGCGGTTACCGTTTGTGGACGTTGAAGTGATTCGCTGGAATAGAATATTTTGATGCGCTCGGCCCATTTCATTCAAGCCGATGAAGGGCCAGTAGCTCAATTTTCCCACAACAAAAAGAGTACAGCAGACGCCTCCATTAAATTTCACATAATCATCCTTTCCCAAAAGATAACATCGTCCAGGCTGGAATGGACGGCATTTTTGATCTCGCCTCAACTCATCTCATCAGCACCAACAGCGAGACTTGAATCATCACAAAGCAGTGGTTGCCATGTCAATATTATCCGATGCATTCTAATGGTTCGAGTCCCGCCAACGTGCGCTAATGAGCTCAAGACGAGGCTATGAGAGGTCAAAACTGCACTGCAATTCTGCTTGGATGAAAAGGACTTTTGTGAAAATGAATGGAAAACGTCATCACTACTCATATCGTTGTGGGAAATATCAACTACCAGTCGTATGGAAAAAAGTACCTTAGCAACAAATAATAAATTAAAGTTACATTTTTCCTTCGTTGTTCGAATACTTCCAAAAGGATAGTCTCGCCCAGTTCCGACCTCGTTTGAGCCACATCAAACAAATTAATTGCTAAAGTTAAGCGTAATCGAGGCAATTGCGATTGCAAAGACGAGAGAGAGAGTGAGTGAGAGCGAGTGAGAGAGAGAAAAGGATAAGAAGGAGGTCTACTTGTCCTGAAATTGTCCATTTTGCACGCTTTCCACAGTCTGAAGACCTTATCCGGCGTCGGTTTCCGTGCAGTTCTGCCAAGCCGAGGCGCCAGTTGCTGCGCAAACAACAACGTCCGCATCTCTCGTCGTCTTGGCAACCGACTTGGACGACAATCTTCTCCAAGTCATTTGTTCATCAGCCCTTCGCTGTTGCTACCAAGTCGGCCACATTGCGTTGCCATTTCATGAGAATGTATCATGAATGAATGCCGCCGTTTAGCATAAACAAATAATATCGCATACTTTTGACCGACGCCACAAGCGTTTCACTTTTGCCCCAGCAACACGATTGACC